GATAAGGAAGAAAGTGGAGTACAAAAAAAAAGAGCACTCAGAAGAAATTCAAAACATGTTTACATTACTCAAAGGAATACTATAAAAAGCTTTCAAATTACAAGTTGTCAACCGACAGATGAAAAGATACTCAAAAGAGTGTTTAACTTCCTCAAGACACACAACAGAACTCACCCACTGAAACTGGCACTGTCTCTTCAACCATCCATTACATGGCACTCTCCTTTCTTCCTTCCCTCCTTCCTTCCTCCTTCCCTCCTTCCTTCCTCCTTCCCTCCCTCCCTCCTTCCCTCTCTCCTGATGATAGCACTGGATGAATGTTATGAAATACACCTTGTAAAACTAGTGTTTTCTCTGTAATTTACAAAAAAAAATTCAAGACTGAGAATCAAAACAAACTATGTAGTGCATTTCAACTAAATCACATCCTGAAGATGCTGTATTACAGGATGTTGGGTCAACTTCCATCCCCTTAAAACAATCCTCACAGGTACCATCCTCCAAATTTCCAGTGAAAGGGGAGGAAGAAAGGGAGAATGTGAAATGCTTGCTTTTGCTGAATGGTAACCAAATCATTGTAACAGACATTTGATTTCTGAATTGGGCAAGATTACTGTTCTGTGCTTGTCTGAAATGCCTAAAACCAAAAGTATTTTAGATTTTGGATGTTTTTTTTTTATTTTAGGACACTTGCACATAGAAATTGCTAGGTGCCTTATGAGTTTCTGATGCTATAATAAAACGCTATTTTGTTTTTGAGCAAACAAATAAAAGTTGCATGAAGGTCAGAGTGCAAAGCTAGCCACACTAGTTAGACATAGAGGTCAGGCAGTGGTAGTAGACACATTTAATCCCAAGACTCAGGAGACAGAGGAAGATTGATCTCTGTTAGTTCAAGGCCACCCTGGGCTACACAAGATTGAATCTGTCTAAAAGAGAAACAGAGCTCATACAAAGGTGATCCCAGCAGTTGGGATCACACATGCCTTTAATCCCAGCACTAAGGGGGTGGAGACAGGAGTGATATGGCTGGGCAGAGAGAGGAATATAAGGAGGGAGGAGACAAGAGAGAGATGCAGTCTGAGGAGCAGTGCAGTCTGAGGAACAGTACAGCCTAAGAAGTCTGAGGATGCAGGCTGAGGAAAGGATCGCCCCTTTGGTCCAAGCATTGGCAGAGGTAGAACGCTCTAGTGGCTGGCCGCTTTGCTTCTCTGATCTTCAGCATTAACCCCAATATCTGACTCTGAGGTTTTATTATTAAGAACAATTAGAATTCGTGCAAAATTCGTGCAACAGGAAGGGCTCATGTTATCTTACTTTATGAAGGGAAGTCATCTTAGTTCCCATCATGAAGAGAAGTCAAGAGAAGAGAAGGAACCTGGAGGTAGTGACTAAAGCAGAGGCCATGGATGGGTACTGCTTTCCTGGCTTAACCCTCATGGCTTGTTCAGCCCACTTTCTTGCATTACTCAGGACCACCTGCCATTGGGCAGTACTGCCCACAGTGAACTGGGCCCTCCCACTTCAATTGTCAATCAAGAAAATGCCCTATGATTTTGTCCACAGGCTAGTCTGGTGGAAACATTTTCTCAGTTAAGGTTCCCTCTTCTTGAATGACTCTAGCTTTTGTCAAGTTAACATAAAATCAGCCAGCATACCAATTCAAAACCTCTATAGCCATAATTCACTTGGGCACTCAATGTTTCAGATTTTTGAGTATTTCTAATTTCAGATTTTCAAATTAGGAATAGTTAATATATCCATATGTAAATTATTTCAGACTTAGATGAAGACCAGAAATGTAGGATTGTAGTATCCTTTTGGCTTAAACACTACTTCGCATCTGGACCCAATCAAGAACTGTCCAAGTTATAGTGACTGGCTCCCAATTTTAATTTAATGTTCATGGATTTTGAATACAAACTTTGGTATCTGGCTTCAGAAATTCTGACTTGGCTGAGATGGAATTATGGAATTTTAGCAAGGATTCTATGTAGGTGGTCTCAGAGCACATCTGCAGAGACAACTGCTCCAAGTGAAGGAAGGCAGACCGCAATCCGAAGTTAACTTTTTTAGAAAGAATCCTAGCTGCCATTGCCACCCTTGAAAACAGTGTTCTCTCTGGCCTGATGCCGGTGGGGGACTTCTGAGGTGTTTTTCTCCATCTACCCTTTCAAACCGACAGGCCAAGGCAGCTTGCACATCTCTGAGAAGATGTGACATCGTGTCTGCTCCTGGTCAGGACTCTTCCTCTGCTGTGCTGTGACCACACCCAGGGCCTGACATGCAGAGTAGCAGTGAGTTTCTAGGCTCTCTGAACTTAATGTAGACATCCCAACACCCTCTAGAATAACATATACTGCACTGTAAATATCAGAGATGTATGATCGTCCTGTTCTAACCTGTCCTCCACCACTCACCTACCAGTTTCTGACTAGATCAACCCTTTGTATGAACTGTCTAGTATAGGCTGTATTAAAAGTCTACAGGTCTCCTGCCTTACTTCCTGACACCATCTATATAATAAGCAGGCCTACAGTTAAAGCCAACACACATGATGCTCTCTGCTCTGATCTCTCTAGAGATACAACGGAAGGGATGAAAACAGTGGCACAAAGGACAAAGCTCTGAAGATCACCCAAACCCTTTGTCCTCGTTCACTCATCCAGACCAGGAGTTGACAGTTAATGCTGGACCGTGTGGCAGCAATTAAAAAGGTTCAAGATTCGCCCACTATGATCTCAGCAGTGAAGAGAGTAATAAATGAATCAAATAAAGCAAGGCATGGTACATGCATGCACCTGTAGCCACAGCTATTTGGAAGACTTGGAGAGGAGAACTTCTTGAATCCAAGAGTCAAGCCCCACTTGGGCAATATTAGGAGAATACTGTCTGCAGAAAGAATAATAAGTAAAATTAGCCAATAGAGTGAGATATCCAACAGACAACCTCAGCCACAATGGAGGACATTTCCTCCATTGGCATTTTATAACAAGCACATTGTTTTTCTAATTCTGAAGGAAAGAAAAAAACAACAGATGAAATATACCTGCCAAGAGAGGTGATGAATGCAGTTAAAAGGATCAGAAGAGAACATCGGCCTGGAATCCTTGAGACCTAATATGAAATAACAGGCCTAAAAAGATCATAGTTCACCTGGGTGCCATCACAGCCAATGTTTAGGCTCCAGAAAGACAACACTGGCTGGCTGGTTACACACACTCTTCCTCCTGGATCTTCCTCACTGCAGCAACAGCCATGCATTCATAACTCACTCTCACATCACATAGTGCTCAAGCACATTCAGGATGCAAGCAGGGTGTTATGAAATTCCTCCCTCAGTTCAATCAGCAACAGCTGTCCAAGACACGCCCACCAGAGTCGGCGCCCTATCTATCAGCACAGGCTGACCCACAGCTAACAGCAATCACTGTTGCTTCCTCTAGGAAATGGAGACTGCTAATGCATCTCAAAGGCTTCCTCTGATCTCTGAAGACTGTGTGAAAAAATACTACGGCTAGTGCTGTCGTAACTGTTTCCTTTTGCTGACACAGATGACCTCCCAAGCACAATGGAAAGTTCAATGCACACGTTCTGACTATCCCCTCCTATTTTTTTCCTCAGACCTGCCTCGGGTGCCCAGGTTAGCTCCCTGAGCTCCCATTTATTTCTTCCTGCCTGGTTTGCTTTCTGGGCTGTGTTTCAGGAGCCCTTTAATGATGGAGCAACCCAGGGTTCTGTCCTTCCACAGGCTGTGCAGGACAAATTCGTCCGTGACAACAGACAACAGTGCAGTCTGCAAGTGTTGGCTGTGTCTCTACAGTACACCCTGGTGTGAACAACTGTTCTGTCGTTCTGGTCTGACCTTTCCAACACCTCCAACACCGCTAGTCAGCACTGCTGGCCAATTCCCCACCGAGATCTTCCCAGAGTCACGAGGGCCTCCCTCCCTCTTCTTCCTCTTTGACAAGGGTGTTCTTGCCCTTCTGTCCTCCAATGCCTGCAGCTCCTCCCCAGAGTGGTTTCATTCCTACTGGAGTTCAAGATCTCAATAAAGGTGGAAGATTCTCAGTCCATCATCTCTTCCCAACCATAGCCTTTAATCTCAGATCCTCACATTCAGCCTTGGAACATCTCCACTGACAAAGACATCTCGCCTTCGCAAGTCTGCAAATAAGATCCATCCTTCTCAAGGTGATAAGCAGGAGGCTATCTCAGGCATCAGCTGTCATTTGCCCTCAAGGCACCACCCCACCCTGCAAGTTTGCCACTAATTGCCCTCAGGGCTGGTCCACTTAGTCTGGTTTCCCTCACAGATGCTTATCCTCCTGCATCCAGGCTGTCCTTAAACAACTGCAGGCGGCCTGCTGGGTCCCCTGCTGGGTCCGAGAGACAGGCTCACGGCTCCTCTACTGCACCACTTCCAACAGCTGTAAGGAAGAGGCCCTGGCTTCAGCCTTTCAGATCCTGTTGCCATCTTCCTCTCTAGCATCATCTTTCACTGGCTCCAATACCCTATTTTCCTTTCCCCAAATTTTCATATAACCTCTAAACTTCTAATCCAAATCTAATCACAGTTTCATGTGCACAGATGGGAATACTCCTTTGTCTCCGTCAACTACTTAGTGCCCGGGGCCTAACTGTCATCATTCCAGGGGAGCTGTCCTCAGTCTTGCCTGTTTGACTAACTCAGATTTGATTGTTGGTCTTCACCCAGCAATCTGGAAGGCATAGTCCTTAAGTCTTTGCAACACCATTACAGGAAGGTTGAAAGTGAAATGAAATACTTCAAGACATCAACTACCAGTGTGCATGGCCCTTTCAACAAACACTCTACCGACAGTACGCAGTGTGTAAATAGAGAACCAGTTGCTTCACAGCCCTTTAGAGGATCACACATTTATCCCTGGTCTGCTCCTGCCCTGTGTCCTTATAGGTCTTTGTGACTTCATAGCTGTGGCTGAGTGTGGCTCTCTGATGGGTTTCAGCAAGGGTGGAACCGGGGACCAATAGATTAAGCTGTTCCTTCATCTTGCTCCACCCGGTCTGGTTGGCTTTTACACGATGTTCTTCTGGAAATGCCCTCTTGCGTGTGTCAGCCACAGCACGCCAGCCTTACCTTCACAGTTAGAGCTTTCCCACTGGTGTTAAAGCTACAGGTCTGTTCATATTTCCTCCCGAAAGATAAAAATGGTTGAGTTTCACTAATCTCAGTAAGTACCAAAGATGGCAACAGAAATGCTCACAGCCTATATTAAGTAAATAAAAGCAATACAGAAGTAACGATTGATGAATGAGGCCTACTATTGGGTAACAAGTAATAAAAAGGAAAATATCAAAAATACTAGTGATAGTTATTTCTGGGTAAAGAGATGTAAGTTTTTGTACTGGGGAAACAGAATTGTAATTTTACAACTAGGACACCTAGACCAGTTCTACTCCTAAATCACACAACTCAAGATGGCTTTTAACCTGGGCTTAGCCTTGGCCTCTCTAGAAAGAAGATGCAGGCTGAGGCTAGGGAGATGCGTTAAGGACTGAATGAGAAAATGCATGTCAAGGACTCCATCTCACACTGGTACATAATTAATGCAAGTAAATCTGCCAACAAGGAGGATGTACACAGTTCTCTTTTATTTTACTGAACTGGTTCTTTATGTCTATTGCTGTTCTCCTTAACAGCCTAAAATATCTGAAACAAACAATGGCGATCCTCACCCTTCACTGCTCTGACCATCTTGGGCTTCTCTTTCTTGTTCCTTTCAGGGTAAGGAAACCTGCAGACTGCTGCTCCGAGTTACAAAGAAAACTTCATCAAGGAAAACTCTGTCTGCTTGGAGCAGAGCTTTGCACAGAAACCACCGATGAGATGAACCGTGGCACTAAGCTCAGAGCCCAGAAAAACATACATGCAGCCAAGCGACCACTCTGAGTGCTGATGTCATCCTGACCACTCACCACCCTTCTCAGCATCGACGGCAGGAATCTCAACTCCCCTAATAGTGAGCAGCCACACCCATGGGAAAGGGCATGGGCTGACCTAGTCAGCAGCAACCAGAGCTGCACAAAACCAAGGGGAAAGCCGCCTGCTTCCAAGGGACAGTCACTGCTGTCTGATCTTTCCTTTAAACGCATAAACCGTGTAGGTTTTGAGTTCTCTTCTTGAATACACAGATGTCTTGCCAAGAGAACACAACACCACCTCAGAAATATTTTATCGTCTTTCCTCACTGGATGACAGCCTATTGTTGGCCATAAGATGGTCACAAACAACATGTTGTCATCCACTACTGGTGTCCCTACATGGATCCTAACAGTCAATGTGACTGAATTAAGTAGAGCATTTGGGAAGTGAACAAGCTTAGAACAAGAGTTCATTACCTTATAAAAGAAGCTGCAGCCAATCCCCTTGTCCCTTCTGTCAAGGGGCATAGCAACAAGATGCCATCCTCAAATCAGACAGGAGCACATCCCTACCAAATACCGCATCTACTTTGGTCCTGAACTTCTCAGCTTCTGAATTACTAACATTAAACTTCAGTTGTTTGTAAATTACTCAGTCTATGGCAATTTGTTATAGGGCTGGGAACAAACTAAGAAACTACCTTCGAATAACCTTTTCCTATTTCCATCTTCAAACTCAGACATCGTTAGTTCATATAGCTGACAAGCTCGCTTCTCTAAAAGAAATGGAACTATTAGTCTTATCTTTATTATCTTCAATATTCTCAAAAAGCAATGGTGAGTGCCACTCTTCCACGGTGCTTTATGTCAGTTCCGCCACTACTGAGGAGTGATTTGGGGCACCTCACATCTTCAGACCTCAGTTTCCTTACCCATCCTGAGACAACGGTACCCACAAGTCACAGGACTGACGCATGGCAGTGCAGGGCACTGGTCACACACCTCCTGTGGCTGCACCTCTGCTGGGTCCTCATCCTACTGCTTCATTCTGACCCTCAGTCCTAACTCAGATTTTCATGTCCAAAAGGAAAGAGCACAGGACTAACTGCAGCACCTAACTGCAGTCCTCCGTACAAGGTGCTAAGTGCTGCATGCAGCCTCCTTGCTCATCTAAATGTCTAAATCTTCCTTTACCCATGAAGCAAACAAGGACTCAGCGAGGTCAAAGCAATCTGTTAAGGAGCCATCCCTTAATGACCTTGTGTCATCCTAAAGCAAGTGCTTCAAAGATCCCCCCAAAGTAAAACTCCAACTTTTAAACTCTATAGTAAGTTTCAAATTTCAAGTTAGATATCACACACATTAGCACAGGCTATTTGCTGTCTACTGGCTTAGCAGTGGTCACCAATGATCTTGGCCTGTTCCTGTGTGTATGTACTTTCTGCAGATTTGGGAAGGAACACAACCATGTTCTGTTCTGGGGTGCATCAGTATTTCCTACAAATGTAGGGGGGCTCACTGCTGGAAGGCAGTAACATTACCGCAGAAACATGTATATGTGACTGTTTTCATGTGTGTTTACTAGGTGTGATTAAGTTTACGGAATTAGCTTGACTGCTGCACAGTGTGCCAAATTAAACATTATTTCTGGGTGTGCGCATGAGGATGTTTCTAGGTGAGACAAACATTTAAAAATACATACTTGGTAGAGCCAACTACACTCCCCAATTCATAATTCAGAGAGGAATTTCATCACTACTTTTCCTGGACCTCCCGTTTCCTGAGGGAGCAGACCATGGGCTTCTCAGTGTTTCCTGACTGCATGACTTGATCCCCACATCTGTCACCATCTGCGAAACACCAGGTTTGCAGGTGAGCCATGCTTTCCTCTTTTTGTTCTGGCTATTTGCCATTTCCCAGCACCTTGCAACCAAGCAGCCCATACATATCTCCTATAAGGACCTTGGAGACCTTGGATGACAAGGGGACACCACAAGGAGGAGCCTGGATCTCAGAAGCTGTGTGCTGCAGAAGCACTCACTATCACCCCCCCCTTACTATCTTCTCACAATATGCTGAAAATCCAGCAGTAATAAAATGGCCCTGTTTTGTTGAAACACCAACATTTTTTAAATAACGGGTCTACACTGACCACCGAGGGCTTGTTACTTCACCTAGCGCAGTTCCTTGCAACACAGAAATCAATTACCTGTGTATTTTTACCTCTTGTTGCATATTATTCCCACGCCTGTATGAGTATTAATATTGTCAATGGTAAGACAAATGTCATTTATTTGTAGTTTTTTATCTGTAGCACTTGTGGACTTCCCTCTAAATGACAGAGAACCTTTTTTTTTTTGTTTTGTTTTTACGAGACAGGGTTTCTCTGTATTGTTTTGGAGGCTGTCGGTCCAGCCTGGCCTCGAACTCACAGAGATCCGCTTGCCTCTGCCTCCCGAGTGCTGGGATTAAAGGCGTGCGCCACCACCGCCCGGCCAATGACAGAGAACCTTAACATAAAACCTTACACCTAGTAAGTATTCAACAAGGAAAACATAATTAAGGGGGTAAAGAGATGAACCCCAAAAGAAAAGACCTTGCCACACACACAAGCATGAAGTTATGCATTAAATCCCAACACCTATGCTACAAAAGGAAAGTCAGGTGCAGAAACACACCCTTAGTAATCCTGGGGCTGGGGAAGCAGAGCCAAGACAATCTCTGGGGTTCACTCTCCACTCAATATAGCTTAACTACTGAGTACCAGATCGGTGAAAGACCCTACTTTGGAAAACACAATGGAAGCAATTGGAGAGGCCAGCCACCAACAATCCGCACCCCCCACGCACATCCCATACAGTTGAACACACATGCACATAACCTACACAAACACATATGAACATACACAAAAACAAGAACTATAACTAACTCAAACCATTTTTAATGCACTGTGGTCTATTGCTGTTTTGTTTTTCAGAAGGAATCCATTGTCACTTTCATTACTGGCTTTGAACAGATATGTTTACTGGACCGAAAGCTTATTCAGAACTCACACCAGTAACTTAAAATCAAACCATCACTCCACAAGTCACAGCTCTTGGTAATTAATGCTTGTCATTCCAAGACTTTCTCTCTAAGATCCTTTGTTTCTTTCCCAGAGTTGTCTTTTCTAGCTTGACAGGCTATGCAACAGGGAGGGTGAGTGGCTTACACTATCCATAAAGAGGTGGCCTTTCAACTGCCCCACGGCTCAGTGCCACTTGCCTCAAGCCAGATTCACATGACAAAATGGATGACCTCAAATTCAAGGTAAAGCAAGCAGTGTGGGCCCTGCTCCCCCCCCCCCCCAGTTACTTTCAGGGCTGTAAGCAGTAGTGCCAATACAGCAATCTCCTGAATGGTCTTAAAATCCCACAGTCCAATGTGAATTGATTCCACAAGAAAGCACTGTGGTTAGTTCTGTCTTCTGCAACAGCCTGCTGGATATAAACCCATCACTATTGGGGCAGAGGGACCAATTAGCAACTTAGGATGTAGAGACTCAGGAACACTCATGGGTGGGCAGAGGAAGGAAGATGAAATGCCATTGAAAAGTGGAGAAAACTTTTTAAAAGCCATAACTAAATAAAGAACTTCTCCTAAAATGTATATACTCAGAGGTGTTGTTTTCAGTTATTATGGACTTGCTAATTTATAAAAAAGAATGCTATATAAATATACTGTTATTTTTTGCTGATAATGAGACAGGAGCCACATTAGGAGAAGTCTACTTTTCCATCCCTACGTTTGGGTATACAGCACGGGTAAGTTAGGTACTCTAGAGAGAACCTTCCAGACAGGAACAAAAACAAACGACAGAGGGACGGCAACAAACTTTAAGCAAAAAGTATAAATGTGCTCATAAAAAGGGACTTGTGGCTTAACCTCTAAGTCATCTCTCCAGCCCTGGAATATAATTTTTCTAATCACAGAAGCCTAATCCCTTTCTACCTTCACTTAAACAATAACCGCTATAATGTGGAGCTAAGTGCTGTGGTGGCTTAAGTAAGAATGGCCCGCAGAGGTTGATATTTGAACGTTTGGTTCTCAGTTGGAGACTGTTTAGGAAGCATGGAGGTGTGGCCTTGCTGGAGGAGGTGTGTCACTGAGGGTGGCTGTAAAAGCCTCACCGCAGGCTCAGCCTGCTACCTGCAGATCAGGATGTAAGCTCTCAGCTACTGCTCCAGCACCATGCCTGCCTGCCTCCCCACCATGATGCCATGGACTAATCCTCTCAAACTCAGCAAGCCCCCAATTAAATACTTTCTGCTGAAGTTGCCTTGGCCATGGTGCCTCTTTATAGCAACAGAACAGTAACTAAGTATGTAGTACTTTGTTTTTAGCTAATAGATGGCAACCCTATTTTCTCTGTATTAACCCATGAGAAAGTACAAACAGAGACAGAAGAGGCTCAACTGAGGAAATGGAAACACTTGTTACAAAGCAAAGGACAAGCTGTAGCGGGCCGCCATGCATCAACCAAGTGAGTTCAGCTGTGTGCTTCCTTTTGCTGGTGTCTCTCACGGTTAATGGTGACAGGAACAAGGAAACTCTCCAGGTCCAGCCCCTGTGCAATGTGCTAATGCACAGTGTTAATCCTGGGCCTGAATCAGGCAGTCAGGGAATCAACAACTATGGCTTTGCCTGTGGCGAAGTGTGTGTGTGTGTGTGTGTGTGTGTGTGTGTGTGTGTGTGTGTGTGTGTGTGTGTGTGTGTAAAAGCAGACTCGTGCAGCTTTTCTGATGTGAATGTATGTAGCTAACCACAGAGAAACCAAACAGATGAACTGTGTCACTGAGGAAGAAGAGGAAGAGGAGGACATATGGGTACTCTAGATGTGTGTGGCCTTTTCTCAGGGCAGACTCAGAAGTGACAAGGGCACTTCAGCCGGTCTCAAGTCTGTTTACAACTTATGCTAAAGAAGCCAGAAGCTGCAGGCCACAGGCATTTCTTCAGCATCCCCTACCCTAAGCATTAAACCAAGTCCAACCTCCAAAAGAGAGGAGAAGATGGGTTCTGCTCCCCCTGCAGCTCACCCATGGTACTGTTACTTATACTGGAAAGATCCTACATCTATCTAAGTCCTTGTTAAGTCATGTTTGCTAGTTAGCTAGTCACAAGGCAGGACTTGCCTTATGAGTGAAACAGGTGTGAGCCCTCTTTGGCTCAGGATGCTAATACTAACTAGCACACCCCCACCTGGTCATCCCCACCCCACCTTCACAACTGTAATACTCCCTGTGTTCCGTATTACTCTTTTAAATTACCCTTTTAATCTTAGTATTTATTTTCCAAAAAAGCAGCGTTTTAAATCACTAATACAAAGCTACTTTCAACATGAAATGCTTATTATATAAATATAGTGTTATAAGGTCTCATACACAGCAACTCATAGATGAAATGGCAAAATGGATAGTGTTCTCCCCATGATTCAATATTTACTGTTAACAGCTTTTCACTTCCACCAACAGTGACCTCTAGTAGTGCCAGAGGTCTAGGCCTTCTATTGTAGGGGAAACTAAATTAAAAGGAAAATGGCAGGGCTCAATGATTTAAGTCAAATTACAGTGTCAACTATAAAACTCAATCTACTAATACTGAGGCCAGAAGCG